CATTTCTCACCTCTTGGACGAGTATAGAGACGTCTTCGAGGCTCCCACCGGAACGGTTCCGGATCGGCCCATACGTCACGGGATCACTCTCGAGGCTGGCGCCGTCCCTCTGCGTGGATGTATCTACCGCATGAGCGAAGAGGAACTCGAGGTGCTTCGCGCACAACTCGATGATCTTCTCGACAAGGGTTGGATTCGCCCTTGTTGCTCGCCATACGGTGCACCTGTTCTCTTCGTCCGGAAGAAGAACAGAGATCTACGGTTATGCATCGACTATCAGAAACTTAACGCACAAACCGTAAAGAACGCCGGCCCTCTCCCTCGGATTGATGGTCTCCTTGAGCGGTTAGGCGGCGCGACGTACTTCTCGAAGTTGGATCTTAAGTCAGGTTACCACCAGATTGAAATCCCGTACTTCTCGAAGTTGGATCTTAAGTCAGGTTACCACCAGATTGAAATCCAGCCTCAAGACCGGTACAAGACCACGTTCAATACGCGGTATGGGCATTTTGAGTGGGTTGTCATGCCATTTGGCCTCACCAATGCCCCCGCAWCGTTTCAAGCAGCGATGACGACTGAGTTTCGCGACTTGCTCGATCGCAGCGTCCTCATCTACCTTGATGATATCTTGGTTYMTASTAGGACGTTGGACGAGCACATCGTACACCTTCGCGTTGTTTTGAATCGGATGCGACTAGCCAAGTATAAAGCAAATCTCGACAAGTGCGAATTCGCCAGGCAAGAGCTTGAGTACTTGGGCCATTTTGTCACGCCGAAAGGCATTCTTCCCTTAGCGGACAAAATTCAAGCCATCGTGGATTGGCCGGAACCCCGTTGCACTACGGATGTACGCTCTTTCATGGGTTTGGCTGGATATTATCAGCGATTCGTCGAGTCGTCAGGTCATACTCGAAAGTGGCGGCTCCTTTGTCGAGACTTCAGTCCCCGAAGGTGCCCTTCGAGTTCGACGACGCAGCCCGTGGCGCGTTCACTACGTTGAAGGCAGCGATGCAAGCCGCACGTGCCCTCCGTATATACGACCCCACCCTACCCACCCAAGTGACTACGGACGCTTCGGGATACGGTATTGGGGCGGTGTTGGAACAGTGTCAGGAGGACGGTTGGCATCCGGTTGAGTACTTCTCCCAGAAGGTGCCTCTCGTCAACACTCT